TTTAGATCTGGTTAAAGTAGCAGAAAGTCTGTAACGAGCCGAACATTTAGATCTGGTAAAAGTAGCAGAAAATTTGTAACGAGCCGAACATTTAGATCTGGTTAAATTAGCAGAAAGTTTGTAATGAGCCGAACATTTAGATCCGGTTAAAGTAGCAGAAAGTTTGTAACGAGCTGAACGTTTAGATCTGGTTAAATTAGCAGAAAGTTTGTAACGAGCTGAACATTTAGATCTGGTTAAAGTAGCAGAAAGTTTGTAATGAGCCGAACATTTAGATCTGGTTAAAGTAGCAGAAATTTTGTAACGAGCCGAACATTTAGATCTGGTTAAAGTAGCAGAAAGTTTGTAACGAGCCGAACATTTAGATCTGGTTAAAGTAGCAGAGATGAATGAGTCTGGAGATGAATTTTTCTGATTGGTTTTGTTTGGAAACGTTTGGTTTCGGCTGTTTGGATCAGATGTCAGCGGCTGTTTTTGTCCTGCTGGGCCATCAGAGGAAGGATCTGAACCAACGTGTACGGTGAAACCCGATCCGGACTAATTGTCAGAATAAGTCGAAGGATTGACCTCGGTCCTGACCCGTGTTTTCTCAGACAACACGGCCGCCTGCAGAACCGGAGCGGCCCGCGAGGAAACCAGTCATCAGTGTTTGAGTGTAACCAAACAGAACCCTGGCTAATCTCATTTACACACACTCACAGCTGATCCTGGAACAGGTTCTGTCCCTCTGCTGGACCGATACACATTCTGTTCTGTTTCACTGATATTTAGTTATAAAAACAGAAAAAATAACATCGGACATATTTATCCTTTTTTGTCAGCTGCTGCCTCGAAAGATGAACAATCATGTAATTACCTCTGCCTTTGCTCGTTCATCTGTCTGTTAGCAAAATATCTCATGAACCACTGAACAGGTTGTGATGAAACCTTCAGAAAGTAACCAATGGATGAACATCTACAACTGATTCACTTTTGGAATCCATCTGATTCAAGATGGCCGCCACAGCTGAGTGACAATATCAAACACAAAATAGACTATAATACAGTCAATTTGGCTGATATTTAATTAAAATTTTGCATGGTAATAGCTGAGAGTCACTCACATCGCATACTAAAGTTTGACTTAACATTTTGCTACTTTTAGCTTTTATTTAGCCTTTTTTGCTAGTGTTGATCAGCATTTTGTTACCTTTTGTTAGTTCAGGCTTTTAAACGTCTGCTACATTTAGTTAGCTCTTTGCTACATTTGAGCTATTAATCTGCTACTTCTAGCTAACATTTTACTGCTTTTGAATAGTTTTATTTGGTGTTTTCTACTTTAAGCAAAACCTGTAGCATTTTCCTCAGCATTTTGTTTCCCTCAGCTTTTAGCTTGTATTTTTCCTCACTTTAGCTTTTAGCTAGTGGTTTGTTACATTTAGCTTTTAAACTTTTGCTACAATAGATTTTATTAGTAAGCACTTTTCAAGACACCCAAGGACACTTTATGAAGATAAAAGCAGGTAAAAATGACTTTTTCTCAGGTCATTTTGAGTAAAAACAAACAGAAAAACTGAAGAAAGTCTGCCCCCGTGTGGTTAAAATGAGAACAACAGTTTTAAAAACAAAAAATACTTGAGTTTGAGGCAAACGATCAACGTTTGCCTAAGCGTTCATAAATAAAATGTTTGTTTTGATGAATCGTCACTTCTGTTTTCCCGCTCTGTGAAGACGTTTCAACGAGGAGGAGAGCCGCGCCGTCCTCTCTCGCAGCGACAGAGGAGGGGTTTTTGTCGAGGTTTGGGGTAACGGGGAGCTCACAGGGGCCACGTCGGTTCGAGCGAGGGGGCCCTCCTGTAAGTGTCCGTCCCCCAGCCCCTGCAGGTGGGTCTGGAAGGTGTGGGTCTGCTGCTCCAGTGGGGAGAAGCTCTCCTGGACTTTGTCAAACTGAGGAGAGACGAAGGTTTCAGCCCTGAAGGACTTCATGGAAACATTTAAAGTCTGAGTCGGTACCTTCTCCATGTTGGACTGAAGCAGAAGCTCTGGCCAGACGGACTCGGTGCTGCTGAGGTTCAGCTTGGTGCTGAAGTGGGCGTGACTCCAGGTCAGCTCCTGCAGGAGGAGCAGACGGTGTTTTAACGACCGTGGATCTGAACGGTTCTTTTTAAAGAACGAGGAGAAGCTCACCTGCAGGAGCTGAGTGCTCGCCTTCAGGTGAGCCTCGCAGGACTCCAGTCTCTTCCTGTACCGACCCAGTTCTGCCACCAGGGTCTTTAACAGAAACACAGAGAAGTGAAGGTCTTCAGAGCCTCATGAGATATTTTGCTAACAGTGACAATGATAACTGCTCACCTGAGCGTCTGTCTTGACGGAGGTCAGGTCCCTGTAGCCCCACCCCTCCTGTTTGGACAGAGTGACCCCGGTGTGCAGCTCCTCCAGCTGGATCCAGAGCTCCTGGAGACCCCACAACAGGTCCCTTGAACTGGTCTCAAAGTCCCCCTGCACCTGGACTAGACTCTGCAGGAGCCCCGTCCTGCCAGAGGGACAGAGGGACTCAATGTTAGACATGTCATAGTCAAGCATTTAATTATTACATTTACAATTTTAGCTAATGTTTAGCTAATTTTAGCTACTGTTTATTTCACACTTTAAGCTAGTTTTTCATATTTTTAGCTACTATTGTGCTACTTTTAACTAGATTTTATTTGACACTTTTAACTGACATTTTGCTACTTTTAGTTAATGTTTATTTCACACTAATAGCTGGCATTTTGCTACTTTTTAGCTACTGTTTATTTCACACTTTAAGCTACAGTAGTTTTTCACATTTTTAACTACTATTGTGCTACTTTTAACTAGTTTTTATTTGACACTTAACTGACATTTTGCTTCCTTTAGCTACTGTATACTTCAGACATTTAGGTTCTGTTTTTTGTACTTTTAGTTAGTTTTTAGTTCACACATTTAGTTAGCATTATACTACTTTTTGTTTGTGGTTGGCTACTTTTAGCATGTAGCCAGTGATTTGCTCCTTGTAAGCTTTTAGCTAGTGTTTATTTAATACTTTGATAGCAGTTTGCTACTTTTAGCTAGTGTTCATTGTACACTTTTAGCTAGCAGTTTGCTACATTTAGCTAACATTTATGTAACACTTTTAGCTAGCATTTTGCTAAGTTTAGCTTGTGTTTTGCTACTTTTAGCATGTAACCAGCGATTTGCTCCTTGTAAGCTTTTAGCTAGTATTTACTTTACTTCACACTTTTAGCTGTCAGTTTGATGGTTTTAGCTAGTGCTTTGCCAGTTTTAGTTAATGCTTAGCTTGTTTTACAGGACCTCTTGGGGCCAGATATTGATGGCCCTGGCCTGTTTCTGGCCCTCGGGCCACACTTTTGTCCACTGGTGTCTGCTCGGAGCTCACCTGTGCTGCAGGTATGAGCTGAGGAGCTTCAGCTTCTCTGTCAGCGAGGAGTTCAGGTCCACCTCCTGAACCGGGTCAGGTCCGGCGCTCTCCAGCGTTTGAGCCACTGCCTGCAGAGAGAAGAACTGGATCAGAGGGTTTGTCTGGACCAGATGGTCCAGTTCTCTCTCTCTCTCTGTGTGTGTGTGGACCTGCAGTTTGGAGAGCAGGGCCTGGATGTGGGTCAAAGCAGGCTCCTGCAGGAGCTCCTGGAGGACACACAGCAGCAGGCTGTCAGTCAGAGCCATGCTCAAAGGAACGTCTGGAGTTCTGCTCCGGAACATCCTGGTCCGGGTCGTCCTGGTCTGTGACAAAAGGCTGCTCTGAGTCAGAACCAGCTGCTGTTCCTTCTGTGGAGGTTCCACCTTAAGTTAGAGATTCCACCTTAAATCACAACAGAACCAACAGAACTCAGAGGGCGTTGAGTTGGACCTGTCCCCACGCTCACCAGTTCTGGTTCTAGGTGGCTCTTCAGGGCGTGAAGACACCCCCCCAGAAAGACCCACAAAAAACTCAGAACCAAGATCTGGCAGCAGAGGGCCTCGGGGGACAGAGACGGGTCCAGCAGCGCCTCCAGGAGCAGCACCAAACACACCACGCCCGCCGGAGCAAAGCTGCTCCCGGGTCCAAACGTTCTCAGTGCCCGGCACCAAAAGTTCTGCTTGGGTTGAGCTTCGGCTGATGTTGGATTTAAACTGAAACTGAAAGAAAACAATCGATGTTAAAGTTATTAAAAGCTAGTTAAAGGAGACATGCTAAATGCACTTTTTTGCATTTATAAACTATTTTTTGTGCAATTATAGTGTCTAGGAGTGTAGAAAACTTTAATTTATTCTGTCCAGTTACTGCAAAGATATTTTTATATTTTTTTAATGGGTCAAATTTTTCAGTTTGTTCAAAATCTGCTGTTGCTT